AAAAGAGAAGAGATCTGATCAACGTCGCTGTCGACCTTCCTCAAGTAGTAGCCAAGTCTGTCATGATACTCTTGCTTTGGGAACAGACACGTTGGATGGTCTTGAGTATTGTAGTAATGGGACTCTTTTGTAGAGCCTTCATCACTATCAAACGGATCCTCTGGAGCATCACAATGGGTCGAGCTTGACTGCATCCTCATAGTCGGGAGGCCTCTCAACTTGGACTTCATTGCTTCGGTACATTATGTCACCTGTATGGTGGTTGCACCAGTCTTGAGAATGTTCTCATAGGTTCGAGTCGACTTGTCTAGATGGATGACTTTGCCTTGTACTCGCTGAGTTCCAAAGCATCGTACTCTGCACTTTGGGATCAGCAAGTGATGCCTGGAGTGTCGCTTGTCCGGCTTGGATGGGCCTGACTCTTCATGGTCTCAATGGCCATGAAGCCAGGGACATCATTCCATCAGGTTGATCCTTAGTCCTGGACATGTGTGTCAGGGTCTCCTCAAAAGGATAATACCTGGTTCAGCCTGTCCATTTGGATGAAGAGGAACTGACGCTTGGAACTCTTGTTTTGGTTCCTGTAGCTGTTGCTCTTCCTTGATGGCTTCTTCCTGAGAATTGAATCCCCTACCCCCCTAGAAGGGTATTTCCTCCGCCACGACCACCTCTTCCTTGAATCTCATGGTTTCGTTGGTGTGGTAATGCACTCTTGTGCTTGCTTGTTTCCTTGGAACTAGCTTGTTGTTCTCGGGAACTGTTCTTGTGTGGATACTCCTGCAGGAAGGATCTCACGACGGGCACTACTCTGTAGTTGCCTGTAAAAGCTTGTTGGTTGGATAGCCTTCTTTTGGTCACTCTTGGTGCACTTTTGTGGCTGGATAGCCTCTTTCTTTGACAGCTCACGGAATTCCAGAGATCGTGGTGTTCTTTGTTGAGCCTTGGGTAGTAGCGAACTCCTCTGTTGGTCCTTGGTTGCCTCTGTCTTCTAGATGGCTTTGGTATGCTTGGATGAGTACAATGAGTGAGTTAAATGCTCAAACAGTTGCACGGTGAGTTTTGCGTCTCCGGGATACTTATGAGCTTTCTCGTGATTTTTGTGCTTCTCTTCAAAGTAGCACTGTATCACTCAATCAACCTATCTCACTCAATTCTTGGAGTTAGAAGTTGCACTGATACTCAGAGTTGCGGCTAGATGTCCTCTATCGTGATGTATGGACCTCTTGCTTGCAACGCCTGTGTCGCGACTTATCTTAGTCGCCGTTCGATGAGTTCTGCTCGTTGTGATGGACGGAGAAAATCACTCGCGATGACACGATGACGTAATCCTCTTCAACTCGGTGAATAACAGCCGGATTTCCTTGCTTCCAGCGGACAATCCGCGTAGCTTGTTCTCCTTGATCAGCTGGTGTACGTAGATCTCTCCAGTTCCGGCCGGAAACTGTTGATCGATCGTATCGTACATTGTATGCGTGAAGATGGGAATCCCGCGCACGCACCTCTTTTCTGTTAGAGGCTTTTCGATGCTCTGATAGTGTGGATAAAGCCCTGATTCTGCGCACCTCTTGTGTGTTGCAGTGGTTAACTCAATACACTTTGACTTGATAGTCAATACACTTTGACTTTGTTACCTTGATATCAATCTCGAGATCGGTAGTAGTAACTCGAGATGGGCTTTTGCTTTTCAGTGTTGTTTGCTAGTAATACTGCAGCTTATTGGGGAGTAATTTGGTTTTAGATTAAGCTGAAAAGCAAAAGTGAGGATTTTCTGGTGGTGCATAGCAATTCTTGTGATTGAATTGGATATAAGGACCCCCGTAACACTTTAGACCTAAAACTCCTTTGGTTCCTTGCATGATGAATTTACATGCGAACCGGACTAGATGATTAATACACGAGTCAATAGTAAAGAGGTGTCAGGTATGTTTCCTCCAACAAAGGGAGTGCGACGGGATACAGCTTACAATTCAGCTTTACAGCTTTATAAATTGCGGGCCTATTCTAGAAAATAATCAATAACTGCTCACTTATTTGGAAATACAAACTTTACATCTCTTAGATCGTTAGATTAATCAATCCACAATGGTATTGTCGCACTCGTTTGTCATCTCGAAGCTTGTCGACTTAAATTGCGGTACTTCTTCGGCCATGGTAAAGGGCGAAACAGAACAAAGAGAGGAGAGGTTAGTTTGATCGATTCCTATTGTTTTATGGTTCGAATCCGAGTCGACAACCAAGCAATCCAACCGACAATTCCCTCGCTGACTGTCAGTTGGTGCCTACAATTCAATTCCCTTGGAAGCTTCCATTTCGTCGGGTGCAAGCCCAGAGCTACACAATTTACATAGTCTTCGCTCAGGATTGTTCCCGAGGAAGCTTTTTTGGTTCTCGGAACCCTTGTGTATTCATCAACGATGCTTGGCACAAGGAGGACGAGCCGGTTGGCTGGTCGCGAGCCTCTACTCCGGTTGAAGGCACGGTTGTGTCATTATTTTCAAAAGAAGACTTGACGATGGCCGAGTTTGTTGATGCCGTTGTTGCCTTTGGCGGACCAGTCTGGAATCTTGTGCTGTGTGTTCTTCCTGCTGCAGAGTTGGTCAAGATGGATGATGCCGACACTCGTCATCCTTGTCTTTCGTGGAGGCTTGCTAGTGGGGCTCAATTCAAATGCAAGTGCACCAGTCTGGAGTTTCTTCGATTTGGCAACTCAACAAAGTATCGGTTCAAAGCCGAAGGATTTTTGATCAAGGACGGTGGTAGTTCTGGCACCGTGCAAAGCTTTGAGCTCAATCTAACGATGAGAGCTCCTTGGGTTACTGATATCACAAAGCTTAAGGGTGCAACCTCTGCTGTTCGGATGGTTGAAATTAACTTTCTTATCCCAAAAGAAGATCGAAAAGACAACGATGTCGTCCGTGTTGAAGCCCTCGTCCCCATTACGACTGACGTTGACAAGGGCAAGCTACTCAAAGAGTGCATCGATTGGGCGAAGACGGTGGTAGATGGCAACATCCGCTATCGAGATCTTATTTCAAAGCTGCCCGCCAATCATCAAATCTAACTGCATCCAACGTACCACCAAGAGTATAACAATCAAATTGGTAGCTATAACTTTATAATTGTTCATTCACGTGAAATTACACATCCGCAAATACATCATCGGCTTCATCTGGTTTCATAGATCGGAGTACTTCCAGCAATACTTTATGGCGGCGACCCTTGTCAATGGTTTGGAGCCTTGTGGCAATCTCTTCGTCCTCCGTATCCCAACGCGACTGCAAACCAACGTCTTCCGGAAAGTCGACAATTGTGCCACTTTGAAGCCGTTCTAATTCATCATCGTCATCGGAAGTCCACCCAAAGTTTGGAGAGTTCAAGGCAGCATACTTCTCATCCCAGAGCTGTTTCAATGCCCCCTTCTTCATGGAAGCAATATTGTCGTTGTTCGGAGGAGCCGGATTTGGTCCTTGTTTCCAAAAAAAAATAACGAAATTTTATTTTAAAGGCTACACCTCGTCAGACGATCCGCTGAACGGTGCCGTGACGAACCCATATACCTCAGGCGCACGAGGGCGCCCACTTAGGATGGGCCTAGTGTAAGCCCCCCACCGGAGAAATTTAACAAAACTCCGGAGGGTGCTGTACGACTAACTAGCTACCCTTGGCTGGATTGCCATCTATTTCTACGGTAAGACCCCTCTGTGCATAGTTACCCTGTGTCAGTGTTCTGCGCTGTGCGTGCATGCTCGTCCCTGAGTGCCTTGTCGACGACGGGCAGCCAATTGGCAAGCCACGCTTTGATGTCGCCTGGGCCCTTTGCCATTTGCTCGTCAAGCGGTCGCTTGAAGATAAAATCCACCAGCTCCGCTGGGATCAGATCCGCTTTCTCGTAAATGAGTTCCACCTCCCGCTGAAGCTGTTCGTGCTTCTTCTTCCACTGGTCTTCCCTGTCTCTGCCATGCCTGGCAGTATTTCGATCCTCCCACAGGTTCCACCACTGCTGGATGAGCAGTGAGGCTAGGTTGGTGACCCAGAGTTGCCCTGTCTTGGTTGTCTCCTGGGAGCCGACCCGATGCAGATATAGCCCAGTGCGTGGACAAACGTCCTCTCAGGAAGTTAACCCAACCAATGAGATTTTGAGTGTCAACAAGGTCCCTATACCTGTCTGGGTAATGCCATGGGTGGAGAAATCGATCTTCAAAGTGGTATTGTAGTCCATCCAAAACAATTTCAAGGAGGAAGGGGTCGGTGGACTCCTTGCGCAACCTTGTGCTGATCGCTCGTTGCATGGTCCCTCGCCACAAATCCACGTCAACATGCGGGCATCTGTAAACATGGGTCTCTGTCTCGTGATCATCACCGCAACGGGGGCAGTGGTGATCGTACTTGGGGTCGTCTCGGTGGACCCGTTTCCCAACTGGCAACAATTGAAATAGGAACTTCACAATTGTCGGTTTGTGGATCTCGTGACGGTTGACAGCTCTACCATGGGCTGTCCAATCAACCAGTGCAGGGGTGTCCTCGTCCCAGTCGGGATTCAGTTTGACAATGTGGTCAAACAAGGGCTGGTCGTTCCTTAGATGCCGCAGTGTTCTGGGAAGCTTGTATGTGCATGTGCCTTTGGGAAGGTGCAGCTGGGCCAGGTTTGCCGGAAATCGGAGTACCTTGGAGTGATCCTGTTGCATGTGTCTGTTCATGTAACTGCCTGCCAGTTTGTCAGCTCTGCAGTTCAGTTGTGCTTTTAGGGGTAGTGTTTCGATGGCATTGTGCTTGTCCTGGTGCGATTTGATGTGCTCCATCTTTGGCACAGTAACGGCAGCCCGAAACGAATCCTCGATCTGTTGCAGGACATCCCAGTCGGAGTCCAACGAATCATTGGGGTACCAGCCCTCGTACTCGAGACAGCCAGCGCACTTATTTGTAACAGATTCATTGTCGCATAAGTGTACATAATTCTTCATGCTGGTCTGATCGTAGAACTCCAGCAATCGTCGAAGAAGGCAAGTAGGGGATAGAATGCCATAGGCCTCCGCCCTGTAGGAAGTCGGAACCATACCAAAAACGGGACCAGAGCACCGAAGCACAATCTGACCACGATTGTCTGCCAGAACTCAAGCAAAACTCGCCTTTCCTGCATCAATGTCTGCAGCCCCATCACTCGCCACCCAGAAGGGCATGGCTGTGACAATCTGCAGGACTGAGTAGGCATCCACCATCCACTCAAGCTCGTCATAAAGAGCTGTTTCCCAAGGCTCCAAAGTGGCAGGGAAATCCTCAAATGTTGTCGGTGTGGGTGGTAGTGGACGAGCAGGAATGCCTGCTGTGAAACCACTACCAACTACCACTGTCTCACGCTTGTTGTTGAAGAGGGTCAGGTCTAGGACTCGCCGCTTTCCAGAGTCTGGTTGGACAGAGGTGCAAGAACGGGGGAAGCAGGGAGCCAGTGGCACCAAGTTGTGTAGGATGCTGGCGTCCAGGTAGGTCTCATCTCTGAACTCCCAGCGATGAACTGTCCGTTCCTTGTTCGGGACTGGATGTTGGAACATCCAGAATTCGGACTCTTCATTGTCAACTTGTTGATAGACGACGTTGGCATCGACTTCGTAGAAGAACCTGTGGCGCATCCGGAGCTTGTCAGCAGAGACGAGCCACCTCCCCAGGGGTACATCCAACGTCAGATTCGGAGCGAACAGGGATAAGGCTTTCCTCCACAACCACCAAGTCCTGGGATCCCTGGGTCGATCTTGAAATCTCTTGAAGTAGGTGGTGCGAGGCATCAGAGGACTAGAGAAGCCATGCCAGAACTCCTCCCGGATGTAGGTGCCACATGCCGTTGTGATGTCAGCTACAGTGACAACTTGGAAGTACAGACGCACACAGTTGATTCGTTTCAAGTCTGCCTCGGAGAAATCCCCATACCACCCCACCCAATCCATAATATAGGAGTCTTGCTCGCGCTGCAACGGCGGAATGTGAGCATTGTGCACTTCAATCGTGCCTCCAATGGATTGAAGGAATCTTCGCATGCATTGGAACAGCCCGACTGGGAGATGACAATCGATTTCGAGATCCTCAAGGATTGGCCGGCCAATTCCGGCATGGAATTGCAACCATGCATATGTGACTTCACTTAGGTCACCAATGTCGGTGCACCTCGTCCTCCAGTGCTTTAAGAACTGCTGGATGACCCCAATTCCCTGCTTGTCAGCGAGTCGAAACATTTCGATGCCCCCCAACTTCCAGGAACCATAGCAGATCACTTTCGCAGTATTCAATCGATACCCCATCTTCTGAAGTGCAGCTCTGCGTGGAGCCGATTCAATGGTATCGAGATCGACATCCTTGAAGAAGGTGGTCTCCAAGCAGTAACCAACACTCGATAGGAAGATGCTTCGATAGAACATGTTGGCTTCTCGTCGATTCAGTGGGGACCCTTTCAGAACCCTGGTGTAATGGGTGCATTTCTTGATCAAGGCTGCTTTCTGTGCTGCGAGATTGCCAGCCGGGCCTTTGAAACAACCCAGTGACTTGTGATCTTTGTAGTTGTCGACCGGTTTAATTGGCGTGGCGATCCCATCAGTGGATGTCACCTTGATTGTTGGTGTAAAGTCAGTCCCCGAGACCAGCTTTGGTTCGCCACTGGATCTGAACTCATAACGGAGATGATGAAAGGAACACTTCGAAGCCTCCAGCTTGCCACCCGACGACCATAGAAGATCACTCCACCATTGAGCATCTTTGGTTGCCTTCTCCACCAATACCTGGACTGAGGGAATGGTGTTTGTCAGAAAGCAATTCGTTCTAGAATTCGTATCATCCACAAACCCCGTCATGAACAGCTTGACCTGCTTTGATCCATCTGGGCTGGCAAAGGTGGCACCAGTCGCATAGGGCTCGATACAATCAAATACTGTGCTCGAAATAAACAGCCATAAAGCAGGGGAGTTCCCAGCTCCTTGGCCGGACCCGTGCCAGGGATCTTCCTCCGTATGACCGAGAAATGTGACTGACGTTCCCAGAGTGGTCTTGATATGGTACTGGGCCTGTTCCAGATTCATTCCATTCACTTTACAGACACGCACTGGCATACCCATCTTCCGGCTTGCAAGACTGGCAATGTGCATGAGAATCCTATCGTAGCACGCAGCCGCGTCATTGTCATTCTTGATTAGGGGGTGCAAACAACAACGTGATACTTCGTACTCGAGTTCTTCCATATAACAGAGATCAATTGCTGACCTCCCTGGGACGGAACCGAATTGCCTTGTGTTGATCAGCCCTTGCTTGGAGGCATGGTGGAGGAGTTCGCGCCACTTTGGATTTGGTCCTTGTTTCCATCTGATCATGGCTTGCAGTTCCGGTTTCAGCCATTGACTGGCTTCACTTTTTGCATTCAAGATCTTTCTTGCTTCAATAGCACGGTCATCAGTCTTGTCACTCTCTTTCTTGCGTTTTTCCATCTCGTCAGCCTGCTGTAGCATCTCCTTTCTGGCATGAGCAATAAGAGCATCATCGCATGTCATTGGCGCTCCTCCGTTTGTTACGTGGAACCAACCACCAGCAGTAGACACGGCCATAATGGCATCCTGCCGCTCTCTCGTGTTGGGGATTGTGATAGTTGAGTTTCGACCTTGAGTTTGTGCTGCTGTTACTCTCTTTGCACGGCGATTTAGATTCATGGCCAAGTCATATCCTTCATCTAAAAGCACTTCCACGGCATCATCGTTCTGTGACTCCAGTTCATTGAGAAGGCAACCATATGGATCTTCAACCTCATTAATATCTCCGTCCTCTGATTCGACGATCTCATGTCTCATCTTCGTTGACTTGAGAGCAACTCTTGTGCTGGGGCAATAGCCACATTTCTTGGCAGCAGCAGCAATGTGTTGTGCGTCTGTTGCTTCTTCAAAGGCGTTGACAAGATGGATTGTCGATCCATCAATCATGGGCACTTCGCCACCGAACACAAGCAGCCCCACATCACCCATCGACAGTGAAGCGCCTTCACCTTCTAATCGGTATCTCGCCGCCCACAACGTGTTTCTGTTTGAGTAGATTAGCTTCTTAAGCAACGAAAAGAGCTGGTCGCATTCTTGCCCTGCTTCTGTTCCATTCGGTAGACCAGGATGGAGATGCACGCCTCTTGCTCGGAGCATCCGTAGCAGCTCTGGGTTGTTTCTGCCTGGACCAGAATCGATCTTAATCAATAGTCGGTTGCCTTTCCGGTCTGCTGCATCTGGATAAAGTGGCAGTACGCAGCGATTGAAGAATGCAACTAGCATGTCCTTCGTCATTCCGCCCTTGGCGTTCATTGCGAAGGGGACGTTGTGTTGTCGAGGACTCTTGAAGCCAAATTGAGCTTTAACTTGAGGGAGCGATGCGGCAAACTCAACTTTCTGTCTGTAGTTTGCTTTTTCTTTTGCCTTTGTTGGAAAGATGAACAGCGGAGGGAAGGCCTCATTGGCAAAATTCATTCCGAACATTAGCGTCATTGAAGCACCACTCTTTGCGGCTGCTTTGCCAGCATCATTCATACCACGCGCAGAGGGAATTCGCGATTGTCTGCCACCAATTGATGGGTCGGTTCCATCAAGAGCAATATTCATTTCATAAAACTGCAACACTCGGTGAAGCAAGTCATCATCCCACACGATGTGGCCCAAGTCTGCGGCAGCTTCTGTTGGCAGCAGTGCTCGTGCAAATCCAAGCTCGATGGCTGTCTGCTCCCAGTTGATGTAGTGTTTCTGTTGTGCTTGATATGTCAACCAGAGCACACGGAGTGCTTCTCTCGAGTCTGCCTTTTCAAGGTCTTGCAGGTGACTGATTTCGCGTTCAATGCGACCGTAGAATTTCGCATCATTCATGGCATCAAGACCATTCCGTGCTCTCATTTCGTTCAAGACTTCACCAACCTGACTCTTGAGCTGCTCTCGGTTCATTCTCTCTTCGCAGTTGGCTTGTTCAATTGCACAAAGGGTAAAGACGGCATTGCAAAACGCTTTGAAGACATTTTCGGAGACCTCTCCCTTCCGACCAAGCCGTGGTGGCGACTGATTAACTCGGCCTTTTCGAACGGCTTCTGCTAACTCCCTTCCGGAAAGGAGGTCGATTCCAACAAGGCTGTTTAATGAATTTGCCACAGCTTCGGCTGATTTGAACATCTGTAGCGTATTCTCCTTTGTAGCTACCAATTTGTAAATGACAGTGCCAGCCTTGTACATCGATTTGCGTAGATTTTCAAATTCACGGCCTTGTTGCCTCTCAATTTGAGCTGCTTGCGTTGTTCGTCGATGCGTCTTTGATGTCGTTAGATGGGAAATATTGCTGTTAATGCTCTTCGGGCGATGTTTGGCATCTTTGTAGGATAGGTTGACAGATTGGGAAGATGCATCGGAAGCTGCACTTGAAAATGATGGTGGCATCGTCTCGGCGTAGGCAAAGTATGGCGGGGTATTGAAAAAATCAACCAAATCTTCATCATCAACGGTGGATTTCTTGCGGGCAGGTTCTCTACTTGCCGTGGAAAATGATGAAGCGGACATTGGAGATAAGATCATGCTTGGGGCGACCGAATCATCATCATGAACTTGCACTTCTTTTACTGGCGCCTTGGCTCGATAAGGATGCGCTGCTGGTGGACGGTGCTGTGGAGCCTTTGGGACGTTTTGTGGAGCAATAGCAGGTGGTGCAGGTGGTGGTGGTGGTGGTTTTTTCTTCTTTGCTGCGGTTACTCGTCGACTGACGCGAACGTAGTCTTTGCCGGGGCCACACAGATGATCAGTGAAGCCAGCCACTCGCATGATGTAAGCAAGGGCTGCTTTCTTCCCGGTTCCAGGATTGACAACAATAAGACTTGCAAGGTACACAGCACGTTTTGTATTATCTTCTTCAGTATTGGGATGGAAAGGAGGGCCGTGGATTTGATCCAAGCCTTTCATCACGCGATGGAATTGTCTCGTATTGGATTCCGAATAGGTCGATTCGTTCTCCACCCCCACAGCCATCAGACAATCTGAATTGGAGAAGTGAATCTCCCCCCAATGTGGAACATTGCGGCAGACCTCAACGGCCCTCTCGACTAAGTCTCTCATCATGGTCGCAACAGCAACAAGAGTGTGATGAGGTTCAATTCCTCGAGCCCCGTACTCCCAGCTCCCAACAGCGGCAAAAACGCTTGAACCGACAGCACATGAAGCCAAATTTTCTTCCTATCTTCATCTGATAGACAGAATTGACGTAACACATGGCTTTCATTGTATATTCTTCTCTTGAAAGCGGCACGATCGTCGACAGATGCGCCATTGTGTGTTGTGTGTGGATGTCTTTGCTTGATTGTGGCAGCAGTTTGAATCGGTCCAAAACTGTTAGAATGAGATGTTAAATCAAAGCTAATCGCGGGTTAAATCCAATCTGATTTGGGTGTTAAATCGTCAATTATGAATAGACGTTTTAACGTGACATTGCGTATACATTCGATGTTAAAGCCCAGCCAAACGATGTTAAATACGATATTGTTTACGTTAAAAAGAGCGATCGTTGAAAGAGCTTTTAACACTCACAGAATTAACTCGCCAAATACGGGAGTTAAAAAAGCTTTAACATCGAGTGACAAGTTAATAGGTGTTAAACGTGTACCTGTACGGTACAGTAGCTAGTTCCGGTAACTAATACGGTAGGGTTAAGGTAGACTTTGAATGCGACTCGCGACACCCCAACTACATGTGTGATTTAACTTTAACCCTTTATTTACCTTAACTACCGCTGTCATTCGTTGTTCTTTCATTCTCATGAGTTCTTTACTGAGGCGTTCTCACGACGAAGCAAATCTAATGCCATGGACGCGTTTGTTGCCCCCAGAAGCCTAAAAGCCTAAAAGCCATAAATAGTCTATTAAACTTTTTAAAATAATAAGTTTGTTTTACCGTACGTGTACTAGTGTCCTCTAATAACTGGAGCTCGAATCGAATCGAATCGAATCGAATCCGCACTTTCGCCATCTGAATGAGCACCAGCCACCCAGATGCCGCTGCTTCTTCTGTGATACCTCAGGGCCTCAGGGGACATTGACACAATTCAACAGGGGTTTGGAGTAGGTAGATTATCTACGGAAGGCATTGACACTGGTGCGTGCATAGCAATCATCGTAGAACGACTATTGCGACCGCATGAACAGCCATGACTGCCATCATCACTCGCCGGCGATTGATCACTGGAGTCAGCACTCAGAAGATTGCTATTGTATGGTCTTTATTATTGAAGGGGAGGGTATACCGGTGGTATGCATGTAGCATTGTAGAGGATATGGAATACTGTAGGTACATGTGGTGTGGGATGGTGGCGGTTGGGTGGTGGGTTTTGCAGCGCGGAAGACTGGTTAAAATAGGTAGTTCAGGTAAAGCTGGCAAAGCCCACGAGTTAGATCAGTACATGTAGTCTAACATAAAATGATTTTCTTTCACGGACATCCAATACCGGTATTTACCTCAACTACCTCAACTACCTCGTGCTTCAATTGGAGGCCTTACCATGGAGTGTAATAGTACGGTAATAGCAGTCACGTTCTTTCTCGATCGCTGCGGCCAGTGCATGTATGTACCGGCAGCTATAACAACAGCTACAGTATGGCTCCAATTGACTCGACTCGGCTGATTTCTTCCTATGCTCCTACTAATCCGTCGTCCATGACTGAGGTGATCTCCTGGTTCGCGGTTTCTGGCATCGAGGTACCGATTGCATAATACGATGGACTGCAGCATTTTTCGTTTGTAGTCCACATCGAATACTGCACCGTACCATGGATTCCAATCCCAGCACACTACATGAACCAACCGGAGCTGACAGTGGAGCTGATTGTGATGGGATGCTGCCCAGTAGTACCATTCAACAACCACCAACGCAAGATGTAGAGTCTGTAGCGGAACCACCCAGTTTGATCAACGTCCCAAGTCCAGAAGACATGAGCTGTGCTTCTTCTGTCACGACACGACACGACACGACACGACACGACACTTTTATGATGAAGAGCTATTTGTCCCACACATGTATCCATCAGCTCAGAATCTACGTAACTCGGATGATGTAGAGAACCCTACCTTTCAGCCAGTCACACAGCAAACCAAGCCAACAACGAATCAGTCTGTTTTACCATCTCTTCCCGAAGAATCGTCGCAAGATCCCACTGACAGCAAGAGTATCACTGCAAGCCAACAAAAAATTGATGAAATTAGAATCCTCAAGGAACAACAAAAAGCTACCATGAAGGAGGCATCATTCATGGATGTTGCGTCCATGGCAAGCTTGGAATCCAAAATCAACCAAAAAACCCATATATACTCGGTTCGACAAATTTCCTCCGAATCAGACGGAGACACTGGCATCGATCCAACCATTCAAAAGGAACAGAAAGAGGATGAGGTGGTCAGCCAAATGGTCACTTCAATTTTCCGTGGCAAGGATGGGAGCAACCCGGCCATTCCTGAAATGGCTTCCTTTGTTAACAAGGATGATGCAGCTTCCTCACTATTACCAACTTGGATTCAAGAAAACCCACAGCCCGTGGATATGCCATCCCTCTCAAGAAACACTGGTGCTGACATGCAAGAAAGTGTGCCAGGAGCCCATGCTGTCCACACAATGGGATCCACTCGACAAACAAATCACGATTCTGGAAGAAATGCTACTCTCGCCACGGAAAATCTGCAGCAACACCCAAACATTAATTCAGCTATCGCTGATGAAGGGAACACACAGCTGCCTCCACAAGGGTCCCTGGCAGAGGCAAGACGGGTTGCTATGAATGAGGACGACCTGCCCATTGCCACAGCTGAGGATGGCAATCGGAAGGGCCGGCAGCAAAGCAACTGGCCATTCTATCTCATGGGAGGCATATGCATCCTCTTGGTTGTGGCTGCTATCATTGTGGGGGCTGTCTGTGGCACTGGACACTGCAGTCAGACAGTGTATGTGGATGGCAGCAGCACCATGGCACCTACCACAACCAGAGATGCTGTTGAAGCACCCAAGATTGAAATTGGCTTGGCAATCATTTTGGGTAAGAACTATTTCCAACATGCGGAAGACATTGGAGAAGGAAACGATAGTGAAATCGACGAGTTCATGCTGGAAACAAGGCAAAGTGCCTTTCATTGGATTGTCAACCAGGATCCAATGCAGCTAGAGTTTGACGCCCCTAATTTGGTGCAAAGGTTTCTTTTAGTTCTCTTCTATTACCAAACAACAAGGCATCAACAATGGAAGGAGTGCAATCCACCAGCAACTCCCCAAGGAAGCGCATCAATTAAGTTCTGCTATAAACCAGACATTGTAACTGGCGAATCAACATCGGACTCTGGGGTGATCAGTGGCTCTCTGCCAGTCATGAATGCCAGTGGGCTGGGGTGACCTGTGAGACTGTACATTCAGAAGCGAACACAGTTGTTCAGCTAAAACTTAGTGAGTCTTTTAGGCCGAACATGTGGCTTGTGTCATTGATTTCTTACACATTTGAATGTATTTTTCAGGGGGGAATCAGCTCAATGGACCTCTCCCACCAGAGATCACTCGGTTGCCCACCTGAATAGGCTAGATTTGCATGGCAACATGCTAAGTGTAATGCTTCCGCCAAAGCTGCTCTCTTTTTCGTTGGAGTCGCTCCACTGGGGCAATAACCAACTCACGGGACCCTTCCCTGCTAGATGGTTTGAAAGTCTCCATGGAGGAACTACAATCCCCTCTGATGTGGGGATGCCCCCCTTGAAGACACTTCGTCTCGGCAACAATTCACTGACAGGGTCTCTGCCACTGGAAATGTTCCAATTGAGTGCTTTGGGTTTTCTTGCATTTGATCAAAATGATGTGAGTTATTGGCCTCTTCTTTCATTGCACAAGCAGCCCAAACCATGAAGAATATGAACATTCCCTTTATCTTTCAACCCTTCCTTCTCATAAAGCTTACGGGCACCCTGCCAAGTGAAATTGGGTTGCTAACGCACCTGTTCTATATCTCGTTGAAGCACACTGGCATTGCAGGAACCTTACCCTCCGAGATTGGTCTGGCAACCCAATTGCTCGAATTCGATGCTTCCTACTCCAATATGGAAGGGAGAATCCCAGAAGAATTGTATGCTAAACTCACAGACCTTGTTGCTTTTATGGGAAATGATTGTAACTTTTCTGGGACTATCAGCTCATCCCTTGGTCGTTTGACGGGCCTGCAGTGGCTGGGCCTAGCCAATAACAACTTTGATGGCACAATTCCCAATGAGATTGAGTCACTGACTGACCTGCGTCGATTGGAGGTGAATGGGAATCAGTTCACTGGCACTGTGCCAGTGTCTGTCTGCAAAAATCTTGCATATTTTACAGGTGATGTTGCAGTTGTGGCTGACTGCTTGCCAAACCCCGGAACTGGAGTTCCCACAATCGAATGTGGTGATGATTGCTGCACCAGTTGTTGCGACAACACTGGGGTTTGCCTTGCCGATTGAGCAGCCCCATAACAAACATGTATAACGTAGACTTTCACCTTATTGTCTCGGCAGGCAATTTCTGCTTTGCTGAGATTCTGCAATGTAACCTCGTTACAAGCTATACTTCAGAACCATCGATCGTTCATTCCCCAACCTCAGCAAAGGAGTTCTTGTGCCAAGGAGCTAGACCTCTTGATGCTGCAAATTCGAAGGAAAGGAATAAACGATAGGTGTGCCAAGGGCGAAACTTCTTGGAACCGTAGATTGGTGCTAGCTACCATAGAAACATCAATTGCAGCGGGGATCAACTAATCTAGACACTAGCTAGTAGCCATACCCTATCTAAATTTGACTCTCAATACACGTGCATTCCATCGCCAACATCGGATCTACCCAGTTGAATCCACTCGAGTAATGTGCCATACCTTTGAAGCGAATCGTTTTCATCTCCTCTTTTAAATCCATCGACGAACTCGTTTTCGGTAGTCTCCATATTCTTTTCCAAACCTCTTTAACAACTCAGCTTCTTCTTTAGGGATGTAGAAAGTATTCATGATCAACACATTGACAACTGGAAAGATCAAATGGACTCGAATGTTGGTGAGAAGGGCGGCTCCCGCCAAACCAATGGAAATCCCCAAATACATGGGATTTCTGGTATGCGCAAAGGCGTGCTCGGTATGAAGGGGTGATGTTTTGCTGGGACCACCCATCATGGGAGTTTGAGTTCTTTGAAAGAGTTTCTTGGGCGCCACGGCCAACAAGGCGCCTCCTCCAAACAGAAGCAGACCGGATGCGACCGACAACCAAGAAGAGTCCAAAATGGGAGCGGCAAAAGGCCACAGAACCAGCTTTCCGGTGGCCATTGTGACCAACATGGCCTTATAGATGGCAGGTGGCTTAACAGAGTGAAACAGCAGTTCGACCATTGTCGTTTGAGATTCTACAAAATGAGTTCGCGAAGAGAGAAAATCCTTTTTGGTCGTGGTATCTTGTGAGTCGTGCCTGCTTGGAATGGGAACACAGGTTGACACTCTGCCTACCGTACTAGCTAGCATTCCTTGAATGCAGGATCTCTGAAGCTTTTTTAAAATTTGTTTTGTACAGTGCGGTGCGGTGCGGTGCGGTGCGGTGCGCAAGGTACAAAAATCGTCAACAAAAGTTGTCTCCAAAAATACTAAAAGACTGTCCACTGATACTAGCTAGAACTAATACTTTACAATTCTGAATGTGTTTGGGAGCAGTATTGGGCAGAAGTGTTGGGCAGACTGAGAGTGTTCGGGAGAAGTGTTGGGCAGAAGGGAACCCAAATTTGCAGAGGAATGCGATTCTCAGCTTGCCTTTTGTAAAAGAAGGTGCTAAGCTAGCTACAGTAGTTACTAATAAAGGGGGGTTTAGAGTAAGGAAATTATCTACAGAAGCCAGCCGGGGCCAGGCTTTTAAAAGCAAAGAACAGTCGAAATTCAAGACCAGCTAGGTTCTGTGGGATCAGGGGTAAGAATTTGAGGACCATTACTCGGGCCAAAGGGTTTAGCTTTGCCGGGATCCACAGAGACATAAATGGGCAGCTTACTATGGGTTAGAGGGATTCCTGGTTTTCCTCCATGCACCCCCCTTCCCTGCCCCCCTTGTTTTGCCCTGCTCGCGTCCTCATTGCTCTCCCCGTATGCCCACCACAACAGCCACCCACCACCGCAGCCACTGCTTTGCCTAGCCTCGCCCCCCTCGCTCCTTAACGTATCTAGTTAGAGGGAGTGTAGTCGAAAACAATCTCTGCGAGAGATCAAAAGGCCAACTAGCTAGCTACTATTACCCGTAGCTACTAGCTAGCTACTAGGCATGTAGGCTGTTGGATGCAGCAACGCAGACGGGGGTTTAGAGGAGGTGGATGTAGCATCACGCTGTCCTGGAGAGGCCCACGGCACTAGTAGCTAGCGATAGAGCAGTCAATCGACAAAACTTTTTCGGATTCTCAACAATGCTTCCAAAGACCAACCCACCAATTTCTCTGGTGGCTTGTGTGTAACAAAGCACAGCCGTCCGGCCACACATACCGCTGCTTCTACCTCAAACGACTGCCATTTGCACTGGTACGTGCATAGCAATGAGCTTCAATATGACTATTGCGACCGCATCTTGAACAGCCATCATGACTGCCATCATCACTCTCCGATTCATCACTGGAGTCATCACTCAGAGGATCTCCATTCACACTGGTACGGGCATAGCAATCATCTGTAGAATGGCTATTGCGGCCGCATCTGGAACAGCCATGACTGTCGTCGTCACTCTCAGACTCATCGCTGGAATCGCAGTCATCTTCTTCCTCAACACTTGGCACTATAGAATGTCCACGGACGTGTGTAGCTGCAAAGCAGTCTTCCTCTGTGTGGGAATCTCGACCACAGCGGGAACACTGAACACGTCTCCTTGTTCCATGTTGTCGATCACGTTCATACTCTACTCCACCACGTCTAACATCAAGTTGTGGGCATGCCTTGGCAAAATGATTGCTACTACGGCAAACAAAGCATTGATCCCCGGCGTGACGGAACTGCATCTCGATTCTAGCTCTATCGTCTTTACTCAGACGGATCTTTGAGTATGTTCCTCCGCGGACGTTTTGGATGCCATAGCGACTCATGTAGGTATAGACAAAAGCGTCTTCAAAAAAGCCATTGCACGGTTCTTGATGGAAAATTTCAATGGGACGGTGTCGCTTAGTCCATTTACTTCCACGTCCCGCCAAATGTTCTTCATACCGACGTTTTAAGTTGTTTGTCTTTCCCACATAATACTTGCCATTTTCTAGCTTGAGAACATAAAGTGTTTTTGCCACTGTTGCAGCCGAGCCGCTCATCTTTTAAAACTTCAGCGGAACGTAATGTTGTGGAAGAAGTGTGATGAGGATCACCATGCAGTGCAGCAGGGCACACGATCAGCGGTCATGGGCCATGCAGCCATATACGGTACTGGTAGAACCTGGTGACAACCAAGGCGTCAACTCACGAAGCGCCAACTTCAATGCATCGCCATTTGCCTCCTTCAAGGCGCCAAGTACCACTTCGGAAGGATCCGATGCTTCCTTTTTGGCAGTCGATCAAAACCCAGCTTAATTGCCATGCACAGCAGGGCGAAGCTGGGTACCTAGCTATCTTGGTGCTCTTTTGGCTTCGATCTGCAATCTGCCTGCCAGTCTGGGACAAGGTTTAGTTAAGACGCACGCTTGCTTTGGATCTAGTATCCACGTCTGCGCAGAGAGAAAGAAGGGTTAAAGTTAGTTGTAATAAATGCAAGGGTCATCATGGAACGAATGACTCGACTCGACTCCATCAGATTCTTCTTTCGCAGTTGTTGCTGCAGCAGCTGCTGCAGCCAACAACCAAGTTCTGTTGACATATCTTTGCAGTGGCTTCAGGATATTGGTACCGTCACTTTACACCTTCCCTTCCACCAGAGATCGACCATGTCATCGAAGAAAACTCCACCCAAGCCCGATGTGGAAACCCAAGAAGCCATCAAGACGGAACTGAAATGTGGGATGATGGCCGGGATCTCGGCTCTACTGGATTTAGTGACCTACGGCTTTTACTTGGCAGATTGGCGCTCCACCATGCGGACCATTTGGAAAATCACCCTGGCAGTCAATGTGTTTCAGGCGTTCCAATTGTTCTCGGATTTTCATCGCAAGGTGGAAAAAGACAGCCTCAACAGCAAGCTACCCTTTAATTATCACATGGGGAAACTGTTTTTGCGCGTCATGGAGATCATGACCCGTGTTTGGAGGTTCACAGCCATCATGGTGACTCTCACATCTACCAGCTATGTCTTTATGGCGTGGAGCGATGTTATTGATCATTTGCGGCAGGGATTGTTGGCACTGGTGTTTGTCGTATTTGCCTATGTCGCTTTTCGATCCGATAAAGAGTCCAAAGCATTTTCTCATGTGGATCCCAGTCAAGATTCTTCTGCATTAGTGCCATGCATTAAAAAACAAGGAGCCCTCTTGGCTAGGACCATGGCCCTGGCATCAACAGCATTCTTTCTGGAAGTCTCGTTAGTGCCCATGGTGGTGGCCGCGAATTTGAGGACACTGTCCTGGGGTCAACTCATTGTGGCGTTCTTGCAAATTCCAGCTCCTGTGGCTGTGGGCACCAATTTGATCACCTTTCGACGACAATACATGGTTCTTTTGGGGGAAATCAGCAATCGACAAAAACATCTCAGGGGGGCAGGTGGCAACGACGTGCCATGGACTCCCGATTCCGAAAAAGCACTGGCAAGAGCTGCCAAGGACTTTTATGGAGAAGTAATCATGGCATTCCAAGTAGACATGGTGGTCAAGACTATCTTCATTCTAAGGGAAATGACAACTAGCTAGGTAGCCAGGGTACGGTATCAAAGTCTATACTTGGTAAACAGATTCTCCTGTAAATGTACTGTAAACTCCGTTTCAACCTTGTCGCAACCAAACTGGAGGCGTTGAACGAGGAGGAAACTTAGGAAGGGTTGGTGGTACCGTAGCGTTGGTACCGGAAGACTTCCATCTTCGACCATTTCGATTTCACAATTATAATACTGTACCGTTCAGACCTAGGGCTCGCCATCGGTTGCTGCTTCGAGAGTTTCGCTGCACAACGGCCTTCGTACCAAAGACGACGTGACCTCCACTTTTTTCACTCACCCCCTACAATGGAATTTAGAGTTTCCTCGTGCCTAGCTAGATAGAAGGTGCCAGTTAGTGTCAGCTTTTGAGCGATCGTTCCGTTCAGGTTGGAGCGACATCTTGAAGGAGTTGTTCCATCGGTTGGGCAGAACTGGCGCCTAGCCTGTCCCGGAGACAAGTCTTCTCTCTTCGTCGGGGTTTTAGAGGCACACGCAACCTTCTTCAGGAGTATCTCTGACGTAAACCAATGTACCGGTATGCGCAAGGGCCTACGGTACCGGTACGAGGGGCATTCACCGAATCGAGAGCCAAACAAAGCCTCAACCCATTGCTTGAAAACCACGCCATGATAGTCAGAGTTCGGTAGAGACAACTAGCAGTGGCCCAGGCAAGTGCACCGGCAGATGATCGAGCTCAGGTGTCAAACAAGTCCAAAGCGTTCGTGGAGTAGGCTGAAAGGAGTCTGAAAGGAGACTGCTCCGCAGCGTGGGCCGGCTTATATTATTTCCCCTGCGAATCCATTCCAGTTTCCAAGTTTCCGGTGCCTGTGCATGCTTCTCGTGGGGCACGACAAGAGTAACCTCAAGTCTCTCCTGTCTTCATTCTGGACAAAAGAAAGCCAGCTAGCTACCAGCTTGGAAACATCAGGTGATCATGCCGCCTTCATCGCCACCACCTGCGAGCTACCCCAAACCCACTCAAGAAATCCTGGAAGCCGTCAAGGCAGAACAGAAATGCGCTCTTTTGGCAGCACTATCAGCCTTGTTGGACATTGTCGCCAATGGTGTGCTGTTGCTGGATCGGCGCTCTACAATGCGGACAATTTGGAAGGTTACGCTGGCAGTGAACCTATTCCAAGCTGGTCAACTATGGGGTGCATTTCACAGAAAGATACAAAAAGAGAAACTGCACAGTAATTTGCCCTTCAAATATCACGTTGGAAGTCACTTTCTGGAGATGATGGAGATTATGAGGCGTATCTGGAGACTCACTACAATCATGGTGACACTGACTTTTTGCAGCTATGTTGTCATGGTTTGATATGATGAAGTTAGTCACATTGAGCAGGGTCTGTTGGCTTTTGCGTTGTTGGTTTTTGCCCATGTCTATTTTCGGTCCAATGAAGAAACCAAGGCAATTGCTCAGGTCGATCCCAGCCAAGATGCTACCGCACTGGTGCCATCCATGAAAAGAGATGGCGCAGTGTTGGTTCGAACCATGGCGATGGCGTCAACGGCATTCTTTATGGAAGTGGGGCTGCTGCCATTGGTGGTGTTTGGTGGTTTCTTATGTTTGTGGCTTTGTTGCAGATCCCCACACCTATTGCCGTGGGAACCAATTTGATTACCTTTCGTGGTCATTTTATGACTTTGTTGGGGGATATCAACCATCACGAAAAACACAAAAAGAATGATGAGGTACCATGAACTCAGCAATCCGAGAGGGCAGTGGGTCAAGCAGCACGAGCATTCTATGATGAAGTAGCCTTTGCCCTGCAGATTGACATGGCTGCAAAGACTGTGTTTATTCTCAGAGAAATGACCACTAGCTAGTAACTGCCAGAGGCCATCAAGCTTCCTCCGGCAAGCTTTTTTCATTTCTGTTTGACTATCTTCGTAACTACATGTGCTTGTACGTCCTATCCCAGACAACAAACAAAGAAACACCATAACCACAATTATTGAAAACAGACCATTCGAAGATGCATCCACGTACAAGGAAAAACTTTTAGGATCCCGTGTTTCCAGCAAACAGAATTTTCGTCTGACGCACCACCCATTCAAAGCAACTGAATTCTTGACGTTGTCACCTTGTAACCCAAACAAATAGAAACACTGCACGACGTGACTGTTTGTTTGCTTATTTTTGACTCGCTGCTTCCTGTAGGTAATCTAGATCTCGATATCCACCTGCATTGATGACATTGGAATATCCCAATTCTTCCAAAATTTCCTTGGCTTTTCCCGCTCTCATTCCAGAGGCGCAATGGATGACGACCGGAGCTACGTACACCCAAAAATAACTGGCGTTAGTTAGACAAAGCACTCTCCCTGATAATAAAACAATAAGAAACTTACTATCCTTGTTGGGAAATGCTTCGTTGGCCGTGTCTTCTAGGTCCGGGCATGCGGCGGGCGTGCAATTGACCTGGAGCCATTTGTCATCACCGCTCGTCGCAATTTTTCCATCCGAGTCAATTTCCGGTTGCGACCGTACATCGAGAATCACGGCATTGGGCTTGTTAAAGACTTGCAGCACTTCTTCGGGGCTTCCAATATCGAGGGGAGAGGGAGTCGAGAAGAAATGACGCGTGCTCAAAAGGCGACTAGGTAGGGAAGGCCTCAGAAAGGCTCGAGTGGAACGAGCCAGGAACATTAGAGCTGTGACCGCAAACAGAGCAGAGGGAGACTTCTTGAGAAGGACCATACTATTGTTGCTTATTCGATCGTTTTTGGTGTGATGGAATTTGTGACTTGCTCTTTCGCAGATAGATTTATTTCGATCTTTCGGTCACCATCCTAATGGCACCCTGGGTTCTCATAGCTGTTCTCATGTCTCGAGAGGATTGAAGTGTGGCAGATGGCGGAAACTGACGTGGGCCCACTTCTTTAGATGACTTCAGAAGATTCGATTCTGTGACTAGCTAGAGCCACACAATACTAAGTCGATATCGTTAGTGGGTAGTACCGGGAGCGGAGGGAGGACGGGGGCAGGGCAAAACGTCTATCGACACATGCTTCAACACTCGATGATCAGTTTTAAAAAAGAAAAGCAAGTATCTCCATGCCTGTCACTCCGAACGTTGCCACTTTACTCAGTTGTCGTCTCTGCTGATGGTCTCCTTGGGGCCGAAGCTGAGGCACTTGCCAAATGCATTTCCGCTTTGCTTGCTGCAAGCAACGTGGGAACGCCCTTCTTACTCTGTAGTGCGTGGTTACGTTAATGCTCGGCTCAGCCTTGCTATTCTTCGGACCATGGCGGCTGTTACCTATTCCGTCATTGTTTGGTTGCCTCCAGGGGGGCTGTTTTGCATCCAATGCCACCCTGTTTCTTGCCGCACCTTGTCTATCGATGCAATGTTCGGTTACCGATTCGGTAACCTTTCCTCCCCTTTTTATTCCAGTTAACCATGACAATCTTTGTCTCCCGGTTGTTGTTCGAAACCTCTCTCTACAGTATCCACCAGTAGTACCCTTAATGATTCTAGCCCCAATGTTGTCCCAATCTTTACCTTTTTTGGTTTATTATCCAGAACCTAGTCCTGAATTTCAACTGTTCTTTGCTTAAGCCTGGCCCCGGCTGGCTTCCGTAGATAATTTCCTACTCTAAAACCCCCTTATATATAATCATGTACGGTACTTAGTGATTGGTATCCTAGGAGCTCTTGATTTGGAAGCACATTTGCCGTGCTTTTTATCTTTCATAGGAATAGATATGCCGTCCCAATCCACTGACATGGTAGTGAAATCGAACTTAAATTCTAGATCGGAGAGAATGTCTCGACCTATGATCATGTCATACGCCCCCAAGCTCTTGGTGACATGTAAATCCCATTCAATAATTCTATCGTCATGGAACTCAGGAATCATAAAGACACCTTAACACTTCGTGCTGGTGTTTAATTCTCCTGCAGGTGTAGTCCACATGGTTTGGACGCCCCCAAGATCCTTCATGCGTAATTTCTTAGCATGAGTTTGAGCAATCAAAGTTCCAGATGCTCCTGTATCCAGTAAGCAACGGAGTGTAACGAGTTTTGGTTTTCCTTTTTCTCGTCTGTTTAAAAATCTAACATAGACGATAGGGTTGAGGTCTCTTGTCTTGCGACGTTTACGAGGTGGTTGGCCACGGACGAGATTAACAATGCTAAATAGATCGTCAGAATCTAATTGAGCAGCTTTTAGGCAATCATCTAATTTGCCGTAGACTTCATCAGTTGCAAACAATTCTTGTTTACTAGTTAGTGAGATATCTTCATCACTTTGGTATGAGAAATCGGAACATGGTTCCGTTGAATCATCATCCTGGCCTAATCTTCAGACGGAGACTTCTCCATCCGATTGATTGAAATCGAAGTCGGCAAGAGCCTTGTCGACTTTGCAGAGTTTTTCATTCCCAGTGAAGCGCCAAGAGTCCGGTGTGGAGCTTGATGAGATTGATGATTAGGTTGCCCCTTGGCAACCTAGGACCCCATCATTTGGTGGGGTCCTACCCAGGCTTTTGGTGGCTTCCTCCACTTTCTTCAATTTCATTTCTCCCCTTTTAGCAGGACTTCCAAGACGGCTTTGTTACCTATGGCGTCCTTGTTTGGTTGCCCCAGCCGTCCTTTTTTGGAATCATTTGGACCCTTTTCTTGGACCTATGGATGCCCATACCGTTACAGTTGGTTACATATGAGTGACCTGTTTCTCCCCTTTTACTACGAACATTATGTCATTGTTCGCTTACCTCCACTACTCTGTTATTAGCAGTACCATAACGAATTTAGCCCGAATCATATCCAACATTGTGTACTGCTTTTCTCCATTTTTGGAAACCCCTACTTATAGATTTAGTAACCTAGGACTCTTTCATTTGGGAAGGAATGGCTGAGTTGTTTTGGATTCCACGGCTTGGGGAATAGCCTACAACTGCCCTTCTGTAATTAGCATCACAAAGTGCATCAACTTGTAAGCCATGTATAGAAAGGGGGACAGAATTCGGTAGAGGAATAGTGAACGCTTAGTTCAACATTCTGTAACCGTTGAGCCAATGACTCGTGCTGCAATTGCATCTGTATATGCCTGAGCCGATCGTCTTCAATTAGTAGGATAAAAGGTTCTTGAATATTGCACAGCTGACCTCACAAAATGGGAAGGATCATTCCTCGATGTTCTTGTACCCACCATACATAAGCGCAAGGTCAGTTACCGATTGGTAACCTTACCTCCGACTGACCTCCCAAATTTGTAACCAACCTCGCTGTTTTTGCGCTACCCCATTATGCGCTTCTTAGATGTATCTTGTATTCCTCCACTACTTCACTTAGTATACAGTGTTCCCCCTTGTGACATCACCAAGCGCACACTTCGTGGACACCATGTCAACTTGTTGTGACGTAACGAGCTTTCTTCCCCTATCCATGTCCACACATCGTGCGGCGCAAAGTTAACATCCTCCATCGACATTATCCCACCATGTTTCGCTGTCGTGACACCATGTTTCCAACACCAATCAATATTGGTGAGACAACGTTGGGGGTGGTCGTACACCAAGTGAACACGTCCGATTTCAGTTCTCAGATGAGGGCTGCGGATCAGCAACTCCAAAGTCCGTGAGGAGAGTGTGGAGCTTCTGCACCGTAGTCGCTGAGTAACGCTTGTTTGTGGGTGACAGCACGCTTGCATCCGGAAGTGCAGCTGCCTTTGAGAGCCCACGCCATACAGACGTCTTGACCACCGTGCTTGGAGATAGTGTACTGGTGGTCCTTGGTCATCTCAGTGATGGAGCGGAAACCAGAGTCCTGGAAGCGCTTCAGGAGATCCTCATCATCATGGACGTTGGTGATGGGGTGTGCTCCCGCTCGCTGTTAGTTCGCTCCGGCAGGCTTCTTGCTATAGGTGGCTCGGGAGCGGGCTTGAAGAACGAATACCAGTGAGCAGGGAGCTCAGCGAGACACAAGGCATGGGAGGACTGTACGAGTCCAGTGAGAGCTCCAAAGTTGGGGGCAGCAGCGCCCGGATTTAGGATAGCTTCATTGACCCACAGGAAGTAATCTTGCTGGACGTCGAATAGGATGGGACCGCACAAGTCCACCACCACACTTTGGCTGTCAGTGTGTAGGCCATGGATGGAGTTGAGGTACTAGGATCCCAGCGAGAGGGCCACATCTCGCACAGAGCGGGAGACTGGATGGTTTCCTCCATGGAAGGCGTCTATCACGATGGAGATGCCAGAGTTTTTCTTCAGCGCTGCAAGCGTCGGTGGGAAACTTGACGTCGGTGGAAGTGATGGCGATGGCATCTTCCAGGGTGATGGAGGCACCTTTCTCAACATACTCCGCTCGGTTGGCTAGGTCCTGGACTGTCTTTGCCTCCGAATGGCCTTGGCACACGACAGAGAAGGGGGAGAGGCCTTCGCCCAGGGTGGTCCCCGGACCGTTCACGAAGTACCTGCGGAAGACGCGATCCAGAATGTGTCCAGTGACGAGGGGCTTGCTGGCGAGGTTGATGGGTAGCGCTGAGGCCTGGGTGCGTTCATCCAGTTGAGCTTGCAGGATCCATGTTCGTTCCCCTTAGGGGACTTCGCGAGCAGACGGTGAATGACTGGAAGGTGCGCATCATCGGCTACGTTGCAGAGGTTGTGGATGCGAGTGGCCAAGGCAGCCCCGAATTTTTCCGTGAAGGTCTTGTTGCTTTTTTCACGGTCGTATTGAAGTTGTTGTTCGACAGTGGCTTCAAGAGTATCACGTAGGTTTGTGATTCCCGCATTGAAGGTGGCATTCATGAGACCAGGTCCCACAGCTCCCAAGGCATTCAAATAAGGAGAGGTCACGCGATTCGTGCTACGTTGGAGAGCGTTAACGCTGATGGGGGCAGCCAAGTTCGCAGCGATGTTGCTGATGGCGGAGTGTCCATTCACCAATTGGGTGCAGCAGGCTCGGAACCACAGGGCAATCGGGGTGATGTTGGCCACTCGTGTGGCATCAGCGTGTCCGAGTTCAGGGGTGAGCACTTCAGCGCGAAATTGAGGAAGGCTGAACTGCCCTTCGGGTCTGGCAGTCAAAAGAGCTTCCGACAAGTAGGTAGGATGAGGCATCACACGTCGGACACGGAACACATCGGTGTCAGCGGTTCCTCCTCCGTTGGGACCACTGTGGAGCACCGGGTTTGGAGCATGAGTGAACATGGTGGCGCCGTCGATGACAGTCAAGTTGTGGCAGGTGACATCATTCGTGCGTTCGAAGGCTGACATGGGGAGAACAACTGTGATGGTGCTTCGAAGGTCGTTCCCAACCACGATGGCGTAGAGATTATTGTAGGGCAAAGCTTGACTCTGATTCACAGGATAGGCGTAGAGCGATTGACCAATGTGGACATTGCCTTCATTCCCTTGGAGAATGAAGGTGAAGGTGACACCTACATCCGGGAGGAGTTCTGGCATGGCTTTTCCAGTCCTCTGATGCCTCGCACCACCTACTTCAAGAGATTTCAAGATAGACCCAGGGATCCCAGGACTTGGTGGTTGTGGAGGAAAGCGTTATCCCTCTTCGCTCCGAATCTGACGTTGGATGTACCCCTGGGGAGGTGGCTAGTCTCTGCTGACAAGCTCCGGATGCGCCACAGGTTCTTCTACGAAGTCGATGCCAACGTCGTCTATCAACAAGTTGACAATGAAGAGTCCGAATTCTGGATGTTCCAATATCCCGTCCCGAACAAGGAACGGACAGT